GGAGCCGAGGCCGGCCGTGGAGGGAGCGCTTCGCCGGCGCTGGGACACAGGGTACTTCAGTCGGGAAATGAGGCCTGCGACACAAAAACAGGCATCGCTGCTACCCCGCGCCCAAGAGGATGCTCCTGCAGCCATGATCCTGCCACCTCCCTCCGCCCCCCAGCGCTCCTGTCCCCTCTCTGCCTGTCCCAGATTCTCCTTGCAAAGGCACATTCCGCTTCCAGCTTTCCCTGGGCTGCTTCCAGCTCCGTTGGAGAGGTCATTCCCCATTTCATCGCAGCACCTGCAGCCCGTCCGCTGGGCGGGCCGGCTTGCTGCGCGTTTTGCTTCCCAGAAAGGGCAGTGATAAAGCGGAATCGCTCCCCCCATCCCGGCTCCGAGCCGGGAGCGGGGGCAGCGCGAGGCGGGCGCTCACCGGCCGAGTTGTGCTGGTGGTAGGTGATGAGCTCGGGGATGCTGTCGAAGAGGTGCTTCTCGGCCAGGTAGTACTGCTCGTGCGGCGTGCGGCACACGACGTAGTGGCGCACGGCGCCCTGGGCGTCCCTGCGGGGACGGTGCGGGCGACGCCCCGCGGCGCCCCTGCTTACGCGGAGCCGGACTTGGCGTAGACGGACACCGTGTATTTGCCCGTCTTGCTGGTCGAGTCCCGCACGATGAAGCCCCCTTCCTTGCCCTGGAACGGAACGTGGGGCGTTCGGGAGGAGACACGGATGGAGTCGGCAGCGCTTGGTGACAGCGTGTGCCAAGGACCCTCCTCCTGCCCCTGGACGTCCCTCCCTGGGGGTGGCACCGTTTCCCGGAGCCACCGGGTGCCGCAGACCGCAGGGTTTGTCCCCTCTCGCCCGCAGGCGCTGCGAGATAACGAGGCTCAAACCTCATGGGGCTCCCAGGGAGCCAAGTCCCTTCTGCTCTTGGTCCACCTCATCCCTCCTCCCCATCCACTGCAGAGGAAGGAGCACCCTTGTGCCACCCTGCACCCCGACACCCGCTGCACTTAAAAATGGGATTTCAGGGAGAGATGCGGATTTATCACCCCGGAGAGCAGCGCCCACCTCCTGCTTCAGCAGCTGCTCCGCCTGGCTCCGGGTGATGTTCTTGGACTGCCGTCCCCAACCGGGGACAGGAGCTCCCCACGACTCACTCAAAGGTCTCCAGGGAATTGCTGGTTTCGGTGACGTAGTTGCTGGGGATGTAGCCTTCCCTCCTGCGGGGAAAAGCGCTCGGTCACGCACGGATGGAAAAGCGGTGCCCGCACCAGCAAGCTGAGTGCAAACGGGCCAAAAACCCCTTCGGGGTCCTTGCGTGGTGTCCCTTGGCAACACCCCGGCCCGCTTCGGCCTCCCTCATCCTCCTCGCGCGCCGCATGATGACGGGTGCAGGGCTCTCACCCGCTCTTGTCGCGGGCTTTCCACCACGTCGGGTGGCTCTCGTCCACGACGAGGTACTCGTGGCCCTTGTGCAGCCGCAGGTCCTGCGCTGTGATGGGCTCGTAGTCGTAGAGGGCCACCACCTTCTTCACGTCGCCCGCGGCCGCCTGCGCGGGCAGGGCCTTCGTCGCGGCGAGGGAGAGGGGGACACGGTGACACATGGCCCCGAGCGAGGGCCTCGTGCAGCCCCTCTGCTCCCCATGCACCCGGGCACTGCTCCCCATCACCCTGGGGGCTTATTGCCGTGTTTTATTGCCACATTTCCTCCTCGGAGATGGGTCCTCGCTACAGATAAACGTTGTCCCCTGCCCTTGGGACTGCTCTAGTGACTCCAGCCCGTATCAGGGCCTCTTCAGTGTCTATAAGTACCTCAAGGGAGGCAGTGAGGAGGATGGTGCTGGTCTTCAGTGGTGGCCACTGACAGAACTAGAGGTAATGGCCACAAACTGAAGCACCAAAAGTTCCACAGGAACTTAAGGAAAAATTTCTTCCCAGTGAGGGTGCCAGAGCCCTGGAACAGGCTGCCCAGAGAGGTTGTGGAGTCTCCTTCTCTGGAGATCTCCAAACCCGCTTGGACGCAGTCCTGTGCCACGCGCTCCAGGTGACCCTGCGTGTGCAGGGGTTGGACTAGATGAGCTCTTGAGGTCCCTTCCAACCTTCAGCATTCTGTGATTCTATGATTCTCTGTCTTGCGTCCAGCTCCCCCCGGGGAACCCCAGGGACACGAGACCCCGCACTCAGAGCCAGCTCTCCCATCCGCTGCTTCCAGCTCCTTCCCCTTGCAAATCCCGGCCGCTTCCCCGCTTCCGCTTGCACCTTCGCTCCAGCCACGGGTCCTACCTGCTCCTCCTCGGGCGTGGGGGGCAGCGGCTTCTTCGTCTTGCGATGCGACCGCCCGACCTTTAAGCCTTCAGCGGCGGAAAAAAAGCAGATGAAGGGGGCGGCGGTGGCGGCGGGCGCGCGCGCGCGGCGGCG